ACCAACCACTCAATATACTTCTACCACTGAAACAGAATCTACAACAACAGCTCCATCAACATTTACAACAGCTGTATCTCCTTTGAGCACAACCACAACAGAATCATCTACAAGTGAAAGTGGATCAACCGCGGCAACTAAATTATCCACAACAGATTCTACTCCATCTTTACCATCGCCTGCAACAATCGGAGAAACAACAGTAGAATTCCCTTCATCTACAACAGTAATATCTCCATCCACTGCAGAGAAAACAACAAGCCAGCAGACACAAACCACTCAGTCTGCCAGCACAGAAACAGAACCTGCAACAACAGCTCAATCAACATTTAAAACAGCCGTGTCCCCTATGAGCACAACCACATCAGAATCATCAACAACTGAAAGTGGTTCAACGCTGGAAACAACATCATTCCCAACAGATACTACTCCATCTTTAGCATCGTCTACAACAGAAGGATGGAAAACATCAGAATTCACTTCATCTACAACAGATATATCTTCATCTAGTTTAGAGCAAAAAACAAGCCAGCTGACACAAACCACTCAATATACTTCCACTGCTGAAAGAGAATCTACACCATTAACTCCCTTAACATTTACAACATCTGTGTCTTCTATGAGCACGACCACAACAGAATCATTAACAAGTGAAAGTGGTTCAACACTGGGAAAAACATCATTCCCAACAGATACTACTCCATCTTTAGCATCGTCTACAACAGAAGGATGGAAAACATCAGAATTCACTTCATCTACAACAGAGATATCCTCATCTAGTGTAGAACAAACAACAAGCCAGAAGATACCAACCACTCAATATACTTCTACCACTGAAACAGAATCTACAACAACAGCTCCATCAACATTTACAACAGCTGTATCTCCTTTGAGCACTCAACATTTACAACCACTGTATCCCCTATAAGCACGACCACATTAGCATCATTAAAACCTGAAAGTGGTTCAACAATGGAAACAACATCATTCCCAAGAGATACTACTCCATCTTTAGCACCGTCTACAACAGAAGGATGGAAAACATCAGAATTCACTTCATCTACAACAGATATATCTTCATCTAGTTTAGAGCAAAAAACAAGCCAGCTGACACAAACCACTCAATATACTTCTACCACTGAAACAGAATCTACAACATTAGCTCCAACAGCATTTACAACAGTTGTGTCCACTATGAGCACAACCACATCAGAATCATCAACAACTGAAAGTGGTTCAACGTTGGAAACAACATCATTCCCAACAGATACTACTCCATCTTTAGCATTCAACAGGTACGTCTCTGTCTTCACCATCTACTACGACAGAAGGACAAAGTACATCAGAATTCACTTCATCAACAACAGAAACATCTCCATCCAGTGCAGAGCAAATAACAAGCCAGCAGACACAAACCATTCAGTTAAGTACTACCACAGAAAAAGAATCTGCAACAACAAGTGAATCAACATTTACAACAGCTGTGTCCCTTCTGAGCACAACCACAACAGAATCATTAACAAGTGAAAGTGGTTCAACACTGGGAAAAACATCATTCCCAACAGATTCTACTCCATCTTCACCATCGTCTACAACAATCGGACAGACAACAGCAGAATTCACTTCATCTACAACAGAAACATCCCCATCCAGTGCAGAGCAAATAACAAGCCAGCAGACACAAACCACTCAATATACTTCTGCCACTGAAACAGAATCTACAACAACAGATCCATCAACATTTACAACAGCTGTATCCCCTTTGAGCACAACCACAACAGAATCATTAACAAGTGAAAGTGGTTCAACACTGGGAAAAACATCATTCCCAACAGATTCTACTCCATCTTCACCATCGTCTAAAACAGAAGGTCAGACGACGTCAGAATTTACTTCATCTACAGCAATATCTTCATCTAGTGTAGAACAAGCAACAAGCCAGCAGACACAAACCACTCAATATACTTCTGCCACTGAAACAGAATCTACAACAACAGATCCATCAACATTTACAACAGCTGTATCCCCGTTGAGCACAACCACAACAGAATCATTAACAAGAGAAAGTGGTTCAACACTGGAAACAACATTATCCACATCAGATACTTCTCCATCTTCACCATCGTCTAAAACAGAAGGTCAGACGACGTCAGAATTTACTTCATCTACAGCAATATCTTCATCTAGTGTAGAACAAACAACAAGCCCGCTGACACAAACCACTCAATATACTTTGACCACTGGAACTGATTCTACAACATTAGCTCCAACAACATTTACAACAACTTTGTCCCCTCTGAGCACAACCACTGCTGAACAAACAAGTCAGCAGACACAAACCACTATTTCAATTTCAAGCACAGAAATACATTCAACACAGTCAATTCATTCGACATTTCTACCACTGGAAACCATTGGATCAAGTTCTCCAGGCTCACCTGCCTCACTCACTACAACTTCCCCCATTTTTGTAAATGACTCAGTTACTTGGTGTGAGTATTTAATCATACTATTCCTAAATGATCATGATTACACTTTGTGTTCTCTACTTTCTTTCTTATTTTACATATTCATTGTAAATAATTTTTTTTCACTGTGCTGTGGGCATTGAATCAATATTAAATGAGCACCCAAGATACTTGTTGTTAACAAGTTGTGAAGTGTGACCATTTAAGTTAGTTGTATTGTGGGTTGTGTCACATTTTAGCTAAAACATTTGTGCATATGCATTAGAGCTAAAACATGATACAACCCACAGACATCCGATTTTTAATTACAAAAATACTTTTTTACACAATTTCCAGCACACTTATGTTGAAATCTTTCTAAATCTTCACCTTAATTGCAGCTGAAAGCACACCCACAAGGAATGCAAGTATCTCTCTCGAAATTATGATGCACTATCTTACGCAGTATGAAGATGTGAACTCTCCAGAATCAAAAAAACTAATTTCCATCTTAAAACGTGAGGTAAAGTTTTCTAGTTCCTTTTCTTGAAGTACTTTAAAGATCACAAATTTGCTCACAATTATTTCACATTGTGTATTAATTCAGTGGCCTCAAAAGTAGTCAGACTCTTAAGCCACACTTTAAAATGTATCAATGTTATTTGCAGTAGACAACTTTAAAAGTCATTTAAAACTTAACAGAAGTGAAAAAGGTCTGAAGTCAAATTAGATGTAAAATGCATTTACTGCAATAATGCATACTTTGACTTGGACAACCCTACTTAGTAATCTTATTCAGTAGACATAAATCAAAAAGTTTGATGGCATCATGAAGGTTATTTTGTAATCATTTATATTTATTATTTAAATTATAATTATTATATATATTTATTATATTTGCAAAATATATTATGGATCAATATTTATATTCAGAAAATGTTTTTTATTTTTTGACAGCTTTCAATCCTTTGTAAAAGAGCAGATGCACAAAATTTCAAGGATGTGCAAATACATAGGCTAAGGTAAGTTGATTTCTCTCGAATTTCATACATTTATAAATATTTGCTAAGCAAAAGACATTAATATGTGGCATGTATTTTTCTCATCTAGGAACGGAAGTGTCATTGCTGAAAGTATTGCAGTGTACAACTATCCCAACAACAACTCACAAATAATGTTTCTAAATAACGATTTGGGACCCACCCTGGAAAAAATCTTTAATGACTCAGATTCATTAAAAAATCTCAGCATAGCTCTCGATAATGCTTCCATCCAAAATGCAGAAATTACCATGGGGACAGTTGAAAGGGGGGGGGGGGGGACAGATAACCTTCATTTAAATTTTCTTTTTTTTTTTAAGCTAGACTTAATTTAAGGGACACATGGTTTACTGTTCTACTGTTTGTGCAATATGGCTTCAGATGACTTTTATATTAATTTATAGAGATCTTTAATTTGAATATCAGATTTTTTTTTGTATCTTTGTTGCGTGTAGATATTTCAGATCTACATCCATTTGTGCAATGCACCGTGAATTTTGCAAACTTTACAGTAGAGATTGAAGATGGAGCATGGGTATGTGTGGGATCATGCAAAAAAGATCCCAACTTCTGCAATCAACAAGGTGAATGCCAAAATGAAATAAATGGACCACAGTGCAAGTAAGTCCTTAAAAGCCAATTCTAATAAAACTACACGCACAGTTTTCAGTTGATCAAAGGATATTTACCTACAAATGATTAAAGTGGCTGCCCTCAGATTAAAAAAAAAAGGTTATATAAAAGCTTATTACTTTAAGAATGAACAGAATATTAAAAAAAAGCAATTCAAACTTAACAAATCCACTTTTGAATTTGATGGGCAAGAATGAAATATCGGCAAAAGTTAATGTCTTCAGGAGTTAAGAAATCATTTCTTATCAACTCATCCTCATTTTGCTAATTGTCTAGCTGTTACAGTTCTTACTTTGAGAAGTACTATGGAGCTCAGTGTGAGCTTTACAGCAGAGGAGCCGGTTTCTACGCTGTTCTCTTCGGCTGTTTAGTAGCTTTCGCTCTACTTATCATCGTTTCAGCTGTGATGATTGTGGTGCTCTACAGAGCCAAGAGGTCTGTATAACTGTTTCTGTGACTTATTCAAAGACCAAAACAAGAAAACAAACCAATAACACTGTGTTCTCATTTTAGCAGAACATCAAGCAAAAAAAGGCTATCATTATTTGACGACGCCTTCTTTGATTTTACATCAAGAGGTATGATATCTATCTGTTGCTTTGTGCATGCTTTAGTAAATAGCCTATACTTCAGCAGCTGCACAATATGAAACTCTCAAACATAACTGTCATCAAACTACATAACTGAAAATAATAACTATATTATTTCAGGATCCATAGACAGAGGTTATGGGCATCAAAACTTTTCAGCCAGAGAAGATTCAGAATCTGGGTCTTTCAGGTCATCCCATGAAAATACACCTATACAGTAGGATGAGCAATTGTGCATTTCGTTTAATAAATATATTGGAAAAAGATACAAGAAACATCAGATGCATTGGTAGTTGAAAGCTCGCTTCCTTTTTTAATCACAATTTTCTTCCTGTCTGCTACAGATAAAGACCACAGCAACTGAAGTGGTGGGTGACCGATGAACAGAGATGACAGATATTATTTTAAAATATTTTTAAAAGACGTCAGACACTATAATCACAGGAAGCCAACATAATACACTCTAAAAATTGCTGGGTTAAATACAAACCAGTGCTGGGTAAAATAGGGACAAACCCAGCACTGGGTTGTTTTGACCCAGCATTTTTTAGAGTGTACTACATGCATTTACTGGGTTTGTTTTAGATTTAGAGTACTTCAAGTAAAATCTATTCTACTCTCTTTTCTATTTCTACTTTCTTTCTTTTTTTTTGTCCCTATTTTACCCAGCACTGGGTTGTATTTAACCCAGCATTTTTTAGAGTGTACTACATGCATTTACTGGGTTTGTTTTAGATTTAGAGTACTTCAAGTAAAATCTATTCTACTCTCTTTTCTATTTCTACTTTCTTTCTTTTTTTAAAAATAAAAAATACCCTGTAACACTAGCGTTTCCTATTCTTTTTCTATTCTATGTACCTGTTTTCTTTTTATTTAGCCTATTGTTTAAAAAAAAAACTTGCTACTTGTACTAGGCTAACCAAGACTTGTAACTGCACTTACATATTATTGCCCTTTTGTTGCTTTTGATTGCTTTTATTGTCCTCATTTGTAAGTCGCTTTGGATAAAAGCATCTGCTAAATGACTAAATGTAAAATGATTGTCAAGTATCTGTTCATAATAATACATAACACAAGAACAATGTATAAAGCACCTCTGTAAAACAGTCACTTAAAAGCACTCATCTATGATACCAAGCACTCCAGCATATGCATAAATCAATAGTAAACTAATTAAATAGGTCGGGGTTGTTAATATATGGTCCACTACTTTACACAAGAGCCCACCCACAAACAATCACAAAACAGGCCAATCAGAACAATTCTGTCTGTTTGCGCACCCATACCTTGTATTTGTATGATTTCTGTGATGCTTCACTAGAGGGCATGCTTTCCATGGGTTATGGTTAGTCATGTAAACTCCTCTTTTACACCGTCACTCTCTCTTCGTCCATGTTTGGTAATTAATATACATTAGACGCTGTCCAATGAGCTGACGGTGTGGGCGGGGCTTCCTGCTCAACGCCACATAAATACAAACCAAGCGCGATCGTCGCAGTTTGTTGATATTTACATTTAGACATTTAGTAGACGCTTTGATCCAAAGCGACTTACAAGATAATAACATAAGCAACAATAGTCGAAGCATACAATGCAAGGTTTATTAGAAAGCTATATATAAGTGAGCAATAAGAGAGAAAAGCAAAACTATTTGTTTTCTTCTATGAGAGTTTGTCACTCTGGGGTTTAAAAAGTACATTTGTAATAATAATCATCTCCATAAATAATTACATATTTTATTTTAATTGCTACCACATTAACCAGTTAGTACAGTCAGTTATGTTGTTTTTTAATATTTGTTTTTGTTGACACTGTAGGCTGCTTTTACTCATATAGTATCAATGGTTTTTGTTAGGATAGTATTGCTCGTGTTTACATTGGAAGCACATTAATGTATTGAATTAATATTTATAGGGAATATAACTGTGCCCAAATAAAATTCTTAAAATAAAGCATGTGCAAGATTACTAATTGCTTGCTACGTTGACCATCGAGTGCATCAGGATTTTGTGGAGGAAAAAAACTGTTGCAATGTCGTTATAAGGTCACTAGGAGGCACTACAGACTTAATTATTCGCCCCCTCATCCTCACCTGTTTGGCTGATGCTTCTCATCATCAAAGGCGTCTTTTACTTTTAAATGGTAGTTTGGTCTATCTTGGTCCCATTCTGTAGTCTTAGTCGGATTTCAAAATAGGAAATATATAATGACAATATAGCCTATCACATTTATGCACATTGTGTAGGTACTTCATGACCACTTTCATAATGCACAAATATTTTCATACAGCATTGAACAGATTGATAATCTGTGTTCTCTTAAACCTCTCTAAATATTTGCTAACCATATAAACTATGCTTACACTCCTTAATTTACTTGTCATTTAGCTGAGGCTGTATGCATATGCCACACCTGTATGATCGCGAAAGATGCTATCTGCTCTGGACGTTTATAAATTTGTTACACACACACACACAAACACACACAAGAAGCCAAGTATATGATGAATGATATAAATGATTTATTTTATTTATCTTGTTTCTTTATTTAACAATTTAGGGAGGTTTATGCAAAAATGTACACAATATAAATAATAAATTATATATACAAACCCGATTCCAAAAAAGTTGGGACACTGTACAAATTGTGAATAAAAACAGAATGCAATGTGGAAGTTTCAATATTTTATTCAGAATACAACATAGATGACATATCAAATGTTTAAACTGAGAAAATGTATCATTTTAAGGGAACAATAAGTTGATTTTAAATTTCATGGCATCAACAAATCTCAAAAAAGTTGGGACAAGGCCATGTTTAGCACTGTGTAAGTATGGAGGTACCAGACCAGCTAATACCAAACAACTGCACCATGTTATCATTTCAACACTTACATTTCACATAACAATGAATAAAAAAAACAACAACATCGAAATAGTTTCCTAGCTCGCTCTATGAGAACTGTTAGAATCGTTTCCAGGCTGAGAGCAAAACAAGAGAAATCCCAGTAACTGCGATTCATACGTAACTCGCTCGGAGCACTAGAGCAAAGCTGCGACAAAGCAGCGGAAAAAGTCTAAGGGGTCGTCAGACAAGCGTGCCCTGGTTATTTCATACTAGGTCTATTTGGTGTCTCCTGCTTCTCAAATTCTCTGTCTTAGTGAGAAAAGGACCTCGAGAATTTCACATGTCTTATCTTTAAGAGAATATTCTATAGATATTTCTATTATCTCAGTTGTTTCTCATATACAGCAATGAGCTTGAATTGAGACTTTGAGGAAAAATGACCAAGGAATCTCACAGGTTGAGATCTCTGCTAAAACTCTATAGAAGACTCAGTTTTACACTCAAATCTGCAATCAATCAATCTCAATATGAACTCAAACATCTCTCACAAAACTGATCCTCAAACATTTCCCACAAAACTGATATTATATAACTCTATACTAAATTTCACAATTAAAGGCACAATGTAATTTTCGCCACTAGAGGGCGCGTATTCAAAATAAACAAATAGACAAAGGCGTAGTTTGATGATGCTGTGACTGAGTGTGGAATCATGGGAGTTGTGGTCTTCATCCCCACAGCCGACGCAATCCGACAGGACTCGGGCAGAAATCATGTTCATGGATGAGCTAATGATTTATTAATGTAGTAGAATGAAGCAGGGTGAGGCTGAAAGCCGTCGAAGCGAAACGAGGCCGCTGAACGAGCGTGACACACGGCTTGAAAGCAGCGGAGCTTTTATTATGCCACAGTCGACCGTTTCCGA